CAAAACCATACCCTATTAATGGACTGTCGTGGTTTGGCCTCAGCCAGCAACAAAGAACCACGCAGCCGCTCGCACAACTCCCACAGCCGTGGGAAAAAGAAATTGACAGGACAAAACTCGTGGGTTAAAATAGTGGAATTTAACAAAACAGCAAAAAGGAAGATGAAAACAAAACAGTAACACCAATAAAGGGATACAAAGACACAATTACAACACCACACTCCCCAAAATGGTGACTGCTCTCCTCCCCCAGGCTACTGCCTCTTATAGCCCAGGCATGGGTCATGTGGGATGGAATACCTGCCCCCTGCCGGCTCTTGGGGGAAATTAACCCCATCCCTGCTGGAAACAGGACATGGAGAAACAAATTTCCCATCAATTCAGGATAAACCAAGCTTCTGAGTTCAAAATCTAGATTACTTCACCCAAACTAATACAGATTTACTCTCATTACAGACCTTCTTTTCTTATCATTCCCCCTGTTAGGCTGCATTAAGGACCAGTCATTCATATTTAAGATAGCTGTGAAATTAATTGGTCTTTCTCCATTCACACTCCCTTTGGTATACCATAGCAGGTCACCAGAGGCCCACTCTTGCAACTTTCATGGGGTGTGACATATGACTTGGCCTAAAGCTTTGAGTGGCATTTTTCCTGTAGATTTCTATGGACTTTGTATGTAGCCAAATAAGTTCATTTATTTCAAATAGACTTCAGTTATTTGGTTTTGGCCTGCTCCTTGGGGGTTTTTTGCCTCCAATTACATTTTTAGAAATATTTTGAACTTTAAGAGTTTGACCCAATGAGAATTGCTGCTGGATTATCAGATGGAATATGGAAAGCAAAACAGAGAAAGGGGAAGAAATAAGCCATTTATGGGTTTAACTGAGTGTTGTCTGGCTAGTAATACAAGAGAATATTCTGCAACTAGAAAAGTCACACAAGCTGTAACATAGTAGGGTGTGCCAGCTACAGAACAGTTGAGAACTGTCCTCTGGATTAAGCTCTTCCAAAATTAATCTGCTTAGTCAGAATATCCAAAAATCTGGCATGCATGGAAGGATTTTTATTCCAAATCTGAGACAAATAAACCAAATATTATTAAAATATAAAAATACAACAGGAGCATTTTTTAAAAATTGGCAAATTCTCTTTCCTTTTTTTTTTTTTTAACAAACCTTGGGATCAAAGTGATCATTGCACAATGCCACTAGCGTTGGCTCTGGGGGAGAAAGGCAGAATCACAGGACCACATAATGGTGGGTGTTGGAAGGGACCTTCAGAGATCATCTAGTCCAAGCCCCCTGCCAAAGCAGGTTCACCTAGAGCAGGTGGGACAGGAACGCATCCAGGCGGGTTTTGAATATCTCCAGAGAACGAGACTCCACCACCTCTCTGGGCACCCTGTTCCAGTGCTCTGTCACCCTCAAAGCAAAGAAGTTTTTCCTCATGTTCAGATGGAATTTCCTGTGTTCCGGTTTGTGCCCATTGTCCCTTGTGCTGTCACCAGGCACCACTAAAAGGAGTCTGGCCCCATCCTCTTGACACCCACCCTTTTGATATTTATAAGCATTGATAAGATCCCCTCTCAGTCTTCTCTTCTCCAGGCTAAACAGACCCAGGTTTCTCAGCCTTTCCTCGTAAAAACAGATGCTCCCATCCCTTGATAGTCTAATGAAATAAGATCTGTAAACAATTGTTACTCCCCTTCTGGGCTGTATTCTCTGTGGTTCTTGCCATTCACCTAAGAAACCTCACTGCACCTAAAGAATAGGGTAAATAGCAATAATCTTGGTAAATCTATAAAATTCATGGTTTAATAAATATATAAAGTCCATGACTGGAGAATACCAGTGAGCCAAGCAAGTAAAGGCCTACTAGAATAACTTCTGTTGTTTAGAAGGGTTTAGGAAAACAAATAATTTCCCCCTTTTCCATTTGTCTCCAAAATTTCAGTATGCATTAATAGCTTATCAGAGGTAGACTTTCTCAGTCTAACATGCTTATGCCTTGCTTTGTTAGAGTATCGTTAGTCTGGATGTTGATAAAAGCAATTGCAGAGAACCTAGGAATATTAAGAAATAATCCCATTGTCCACATTGCTGTAGACTGCTCCAGCTGTCCTTACTACCATCTCAACCACTGCCTGGGCAGCAGCAGCACCAACCACGCAACTGATGCTTGGATGTGAGGCAGTCTGAAATACTTGAGATTTTTTTCCAACTCCTAAAAGAGCCCTTACAAGTCCTGTCCTTTGGTAAGCTAATGATTTTTTTAGATGAATAAAGCAAACCACACTCAGCTGGCTTCTCAGCATGTGATAACAGAGGAATTTGGGATAAGTACAAGAACTGAAGGCAGTTGCAGAGGCAACAACAACAGGTTGAGCTGAAGTGGAAATAGGTTGGAGGACTCAATGAACCATCAGCATGCTGCAGACACTAAGAAAGCAAAATTGATCTTATTGAGCAAGTTATTCTCGGTAAAGGTGGGAGGTAATGCTGCTGTGCAAGGCATATTCATGTTCAAATACGAAAGGCACCAACAGAAGAAGGTCCAAAAAAAGGGCTTTTGAAAGATAGCGGCCCTTCTTCAGCTGCTTTGTGCAGGCACTGAGGCGAACTGGGGTCTGATTGCTTATGCCAACTCTGGTGAGTTGCACCTGGGAAGAATGGTGAGTTTGGTAATGGCTGATAAAGGCAGGCAACTTTGTAACTGTGCACTGCTATTTTTTTTTATTTATTTTTTTTTTTGCACTGATGCAAAATCATAAACGTGCAAAACAGAGGGCACTCAAAAGTAAGCAACTTTCAGGGCTGTTTATATCTTTTAAAGTGTGGAAGAAAGGAGTGTGAACTGTAAAGGACAGAAGCAGGGCAAAGATGACACTCATTGTAGGGGCAGATGAAGAGCAAGAATTATACCAGCATTTTCTCTCGTGCTTAACATCAATCCAAAATGAAAATAATAATAGGAACTTTTTAAAAATGCATAGCTTTAGGATAGGCTATGTTTCTGTTTTCTCCTAATAGTCATATTAGCAACTACACACTTTAAGCATTTCATGACATGATTATAATCCCAATTCTGCTCTAAATTGGGGCATCAAGACAAGGGAATTTGGGAATCACTTTTCATACTTCAAGTATTTGCAAGTTTTGATGGTAATAAATGCTAGATAAACAATAGTTAAGAAGTGCAGTGATAGAAAACTTAGGTAATACAGTCGCCTGGTAGTGCGTAACTCCTGAGCTTCCAGAATCTGTAGCTCAGAAGCAAAAGTTTCTGAAAACTAAGAAATGAGAAGTTATCTTCTACACAACTGCAATTTCAAACTCCAACTGATGTTCAAAGACACGTATTATCCTGAACCTTTGAACCATCTTAATAAGAGATGCTGATGCCTGAATTTTAGTCAAAACACCTACTCTCTACAGAACACTTACATCTGTCACAGCCCCTTTACCCTTCAATGCGTGGTATCAACTAATACTACATGACACTCATGACACATCGTTAATGCAACAGACTGCACTTGTCTTCTAGCCCTAACTGCTGATAAACAACCATGAGAAGACAATTAGCTACAGATAGATCCACACAATATAATACAGAGCTGAAGTACACCAGATCTTTCAGGAGATGCATTTCTCTTCAGGTTCACAAGGGTCTGATCTACCCTTTGTATAGGTGGGTGATCTACCTGGATTTCTCCCTGTGTAACTGCAAACGGCATGCCTTCATGGCTCAGTGTTCACACAATGAGCACACAAGGAGGTTTTGCAAATTCCCCGGGGCAGCTTCTGGCTCTGAACAGTCAGAATTAAGTTTGTTTTGGGTCATTCATTGCAATTCCTGGTTTGGGGAAGTCTGCATCTCAGTGAGCTCTCTATTCAGGAAAGGTAACAGTAAGGCAAATTTAAATGAGTTAAGATTTTGTCCCTCAAAAATAGATACAAGGGAAAACCACACAGAGCAAGAACAGAAATAGATCAGCATGGAGGAGAACAGGAGATATTGAGAAGCCACTTAATGCACACCAATTGCAGTACGAGGAACAGGGAGCATCCAGAAGTGTTTAGGAATGGAGAAGAATATAAGCAACAGTATCCCTCCCCAAAAAAATATCTTTCATATTAAAAAACATCACTTGAAGTCATTTGGAGAAGATGTTCTCTCTCTAAATCACAACTTTAAGTGAAATATTTCTGAAAGGAAAAGCCATATGTTTATTTAATTGAAGTAATCCTATCCAAAGGAGCCAACATGCCTAATTGCAAATCCCCAGCTCATCACAGACAAGGGGAAGCGATGAGAAACTATTAATTGTAGTGACAGATTTTTCCACAAAAATGCAATCTTGCTTGAGAGGATTCTTTTCCTTTTTTCTTAAATTTAAAAAATCACATCAATCATAGTAAAAACAAACAATGACATCTCATCTCATATTTGAGTATTATTTTAATTTTGACTGCTGTTGAAGTAGCTGCCACATTCTTCTGCATACTGAAAATGGAAAGCTTAAATTAGGCTTTGTAGAGTGGACACAAAAGGAAATTTAGAAATATATACAATTCTGATATACAGTCCTTGCATTCCCCATATCTAGATTTTGATCTCAATTGTGCAAGCTTTCTTACATTACCAATGAGTACCTGTAATGTGAAGGAAATTGATTTTCATCCTCCCCACTGCTACAAGCACTGGTAGCATCTAACAATAATTAAAAGATAAGTTGTGGCTCTCCAAAAGTTTTATGAGATTTCCTATCACACTTGCAAATTGGGGAGCATTGATATGTTCAGCCATTTCAGAGTTAAAACACACTTGCTCTCTACTTGCGTTTTTCAACAATTAGGAGACCAAAGGCAAAACAAGGCAGCCAGCCTATCTTTAACACCATGCAGTGAAAATGTA